GAACAGATGAATGAATAAAATGTAGTATAGATACACAATGAAACACTGTTCAGCCAGAAAAAAAGAAGGAAAGCCTGTCTTTGAAGATAAAATGGATAAACCTGGAGCACATTATGTTGAGTAAAATAAGCCAGGCACAGAACGACAAATACCACATCATCTCATTTACGTGTGGCATCTAAAAAAGTTGAACTCATAGAAGCAGAGAGAAGAAAGCTGGTTAGAGGTGGGGCGGGGGAGGGGTTGGTCAAAAGACACAAAATTTTAGTTAGAGGGGATAAATAATTTCAAGAGATCTATTGCACAACATGGTGACTGCAGTTAATAATATATTCATTCTTAAAAATTGCTAAGAGTAGATTTGCAGTGTTCTCACCACAAAAAAAAAATTATAAGTATGTGTGGCAATGCATATGTTCATTAGCTCAATTTAGCCATCGCAACGTGTACATATTTGGAAACATTACATTGGACATGATAAATATATGCAACATGTGTCCATTAAAATCTGATTAATTTAAAAAAAAAATTTTAAATATGGTTATGTAAACTCACTAAATCAATGTTTCCAACAGGATACTATCAGCGAATGGAAAAAAGAGTACAGATTTCAGAAACATGCGACATGGAATGCTTAGGACAGGATCATTTTTAAAAAGCCAAAGACCAGTGACAATGAAGACAAGGCAGTGGCATTTGGAGGCTGAAAGCAATTCGATTTATTTAACTTTGAAGAACAAAAGCTTATTCTTCTCAGGAGAAACCAAAACACATTTTCTGTAGAAAAAAGACACCATTTTAACCGCATTGCCAAAATAAATCAGGCGGAGGGCAAGAGGGCAAGTTAGATGTAGCCACAAAAAAGAACGCAGGCCAACAAAGCAGGGTGAGAAGAACAGGGGAGGCCATGCCCAACATCAGATTTGGGGTTTGTAAAGGGAGAAGGAGCCAGAGGAGCGAGAGAGAAATCCTGCCCCAGTCTTGATAACATTCTATTTAGAATATTAAGTCTAGTTTCTGGTAACAACCACCTTAAACAACAGAAAGAAAAAAAGAAACCTAACCAGTAAGTGGATATGCATTTGTCTTTGAATATTTGAGACTGTTCTACAGTAAAACAAAATAATGCAGTAACATTGTTTGGCTAAAAATCCAAATTTGAGCAAAAATCTCTTTCAGGAAAAAACACAACTCTAAAGACTGCATCAGATTGTAGAAAAGACCCACAGCACTCCTCTCCTGCTTCCCCAGCTGCACTCCAGTGCGGATCTGGCTTCGTCTAGAACCAGAAAGGACCAGAGAGTCTGGCCCAGAAGGAAACTTTTCAGGATTTTTCTAGTTGGAAAATCAAGTCATGTTAAATGTTCCAAACATATTTTTGGTGGGGGATGAGATTTGAGAAGAAAAAAAAAACTGCAAGAAAAATTTTAATGAATACATAATTTTTTTCTTTTTTTGAGACGGAGTCTCGCTCTGTCGCCCAGGCTGGAGTGCAGTGGCCAGATCTCAGCTCACTGCAAGCTCCGCCTCCCGGGTTTACGCCATTCTCCTGGCTCAGCCTCCCGAGTAGCTGGGACTACAGGCGCCGCCACCTCACCCGGCTAGTTTTTTGTATTTTTTAGTAGAGACGGGGTTTCACCGTGTTAGCCAGGATGGTCTCGATCTCCTGACCTCGTGATCCGCCCGTCTCGGCCTCCCAAAGTGGAATACATAATTTTTAAAACACCAATGAATATTCCCTTCCTTCCTTTTTCAGGGCCCATACTTCACTGGGGTAATCAGATATGGCCACCCAGCGGGTCTCAATTTGAGCAGGCTCTAATCATGGGAACTGCTTGTCCTGGACCCAGTTGAATGAAGTCTATGACATCTGAAGCAAGGCTGCCCAGGTTCAAGTCTAACTCTATCACATTCTTGCTGATATCTCTAAACCAGTTGTTTAAACTCTCTGTGCTTAAGACCTTCATCGGCAAAATGGGGTACTAACTAGCACCTATCGACTGCTGTCGTGAGGATTAAAGAAATTAGTTAATACACAGAATGTGTCTTTCAAAGCATGCCAAGTACAGAGTACTCAAAAAACTGTAGGTATTATAATTAATTTACTCGGGATCATGGACATCCATGATATTATTCTACTTTTGAGTTTAAAATTTTCCATAATAAAAAATTAATTTTTAATTTGAAAATCAATTACAACAAGTTGGAGGCTCGGAAAACACATACCCTTTGAAGGTCACTCTTGCTCATTGTGCTTTGAGCGGTACAATACAATATGACTACCTTCTACTGACAGCCAACTATATCCCACACTTTCTCTTGGCTGTTGGATTAAAACAATGAATTTAATACCTTATTTCATGTTCAAAGAAACCAGGGGTAGAGCAGTTAAATACAACGTCCAAATTGCGAAGCTCAGATTTACACCCATGTCTTCTAATCAAATTCAGTCCTTGTTTATATAATCCTGCTGAATAACAGCGTGCTGTGCAGAGAATATCTCACTGTAAATCAGTTAAATGTGGTCAGGACTTCAGATGCTTGGACCAAATTTCTACAGTCAGAATCAGACAGATTCGGGCCAAAAAACCCAGCTGAGCAATCCTAATTCTTTTCACCTTCCCAGATCTAGAGTGCCGCTCTCCGGGCCGTGGTAGCCAAAATCACCCATGGCACTAGTTAGTCAAGTTCTAATCAGAGGTGAGTCTGACAAGAGGATCATCTTGCAGTTCCTAACCGAGGGCAAGCCAGGTCTTCTGGTGCAATCGGCTCCATCTCTCAACTCACTGCCCAGTTGATGACTCATACTCAGCCTGTCCTTATGACCCATACTTTCTTTGCAGCTAAGCTGGCTGGGCCTTCCTCACCTAAGACTTGAATAGCCACATGCTTCTCTTCCCACACAGCCAAGTCCTTCACTGACCTTAATCAGAATGCTCCTCTTTCCAGCTATATGACCTTCAACATGTAACTCACCTTTCCCATTCATCAGTTTCCCCATCTGTAAAACTATGATCATAGTACTAACTCCATTCAGAGAGGTTTATAATGATGACATGTGAGATACACATCAGTACCATGCCTAGAAGACTAGAATATTGAATTAACTTTAGCTGCTGTTATTACTCATCTTCATCATCCTCTTCTTAAATTCCTTTTGGTTCCCTTCCCCAAGGTCACCAGTAACTGGCCAAGAAGCCAATGGTAGACTTTTCTGTACTGTTTCTCTCTTTAAGAAGGTTCCTATTTTGCTCCTAAACTCAGGAAGAGATGCCAGATCTCCCCACAGGCAAAACCGCAAGGGCTAACTAACACTAGAACATGATCAGAGTCCCTATGTCTCAGAAAATGTAGGTGCACAGAGTTGTTCCAGAGCACCTTCAACCCTCTGAGCCCGGCGGATTGTCAGAGAAGCTTCACCCAAAAGCCACATCTCTCCTCCACTCAGCCACACCGAGCAAAAATGAATTAATTCCATGATAATAATCAGTAGCATGGATGGAGCATTTCCCACGTGCAACTTCATGGAAATCTCACTCCCGCCCCTGAGGCAAGGAGCATCACTTCCAATTTCCAGTGAGGCATAGAAAGCTCAGGTATCTTGCCTAGGTCCCAGGGTTAGTGCGTGGCATACTGGAGCTTGAACCTGGCAGTCTGACTCCAGGGTTCATGTCAGTTTCGCTGTGTCTCTGTACCTTCAAGGACCCTGCCTGACCTCTCCCCCATTGCCCGCCCTCCCCTCCCCATGTAAGTGTAAACTCTTCTGTCTTCATGTTCAGGCTCTGATGGTTCCATGGAGCATTTAGGGCATGATCCCTCCCAAATTGTCACCCTTGCCCTTTTACAAGGGATAAGAAACATGGAAAGGATAAATACCACTCAAGCCGGAACAGAAATAAAGGAGTTAAGATGAAAGTTAAGCCACTATCAATTTATCACAGGGTTTTGGTGCGTGTGTGTGTGGGTTTTTTTTTTTTTTTTAGATGGAGTCTCACTCTGTCACTCAGGCTGGAGTGCAGTGGCACGATATCGGCTCACTGCAAGCTCCGCCTCCCGGGTTCACGCCATTCTCCTGCCTCAGCCTCCCAAGTAGCTGGGACTACAGGCGCCCGCCACCACGCCCGGCTAATTTTTTGTATTTTTTAGTAGAGACGGGGTTTCACCATGTTAGCCAGGATGGTCTCAATCTCCTGACCTCGTGATCCGTCCGCCTCGGCCTGCCAAAGTGCTGGGATTACATGGGATTACAGGCATGAGCCACTGTGCCCGGCTGCGTGTTTTTTTGTTTTTTGTTTTTTAAGCAGTGTCTTGCAAAATTAAAATTGCCAAATCAAGAAATAAATCACTGTAGCTTTTCAATTGCCTCAAAATATTTGGTGGGAAGAGAAATATTCGTATTGAGGTTTCAGAACTGTGACACAAAGAAAACTGGTTTCCAACAGAATAAAAGGAAAAAGGATTGGTTTGTTTGCTCCAGACTTTTTCAAGTCACAGTTTACCTGGAAATGGTGACAAGATTACACATCATTTGGCCTGCATGGTTGTTTTTAAAAAAAAAAAAAAAAAAAAGTAAGCTGCCAAAATCAAAAATCAGTGATTTTACATTTTAAAAGTCTGAATTTTGTCTTTTTTTACATAAGAAGATGCAGCAACACTAGGCGCTTTCTGCCTTGTGGTAACGCAAGCCCTATATGGTGGGTGATGTGAGTTCTAGTTTGCCACAATCCCCAGCATGCCACATTGCCTCACAAGTAATCCTCTGTCCTCATTACCACACAGGCCAAGCCCCTGGAGGCACCACATTTGTGACTTCTTTACAAGAAGCTCTGGGCAGACAAGTAATCATGTTCAGTCCCCCTCAGCCTTCCTGGGTCCAGGAAAGCTCTCCCATTTCCCTGCCAAATGCCATCCCTATGCTGCCACAGCACCCGGGAAGCTCCCAGTACTTTCTCCTCACCCTGCGCCACCCTGCCCCCAATGTCACCAAAACCACAGCTCACCTGCTACTCTGTGCCACTGCGTTCTCTCTTCACAGGTGTTGCCGGCACCTCCCCATTGACGGTTTCAGCCCCACTAACAGACATCAGGCTTCTCCGTTCCTTCTGGTTTGACTTGTGCTCCACTTTTGTAACTCTAAACCTGAGGGGGGAACGGGGAGAGGTGATGGGGTTTGCTTTTCTAATAAACAAGAATTGTGAAGAAAGCAAAAATCATCCACCCAGAGGATCTCAAATGAACTCAGCCAAAAGTTAGGACACAAATGAAAAACAACATATTCAAGAGGAGGAGCATGCATTCCTCTCCGGCACATTCCCCTGGCCCCTGCCCAACCTTCCAGCTGATCTCTACTCAACCACATCACAGACTAAGCCGGATATTTCACAGAGCATGCAAAAGGCATTTAAAAACTCAGGTATTGGCCAGGCACGGTGGCTTATGCCTGTAATCCCAGCAGCACTTTGGAAGGCTGAGGAGGGTGGATTGCTTGAGCCCAGGAGTTTGAGACCAGCCAGGGTGTATAGCAAAACTCTGTCTCTACGAAAGTTACAAAAATTAGCCGGGCGTAGTAGTGTGCACCTGTAGTCCCAGCTACTCGGGAGGCTGAAGCAGGAGAATCATCTGAGCCCAGGAGGAGGGGGCTGCAGTGAGCAGAGATCACATCACTGCACTCCAGCCTGGGAAACAGAGCGAGGCCCTGTCTCCATAAGAAAAAAAAAAAACCTCAGGGACTCAAATATTAAACAGCCTCAGAGTTGTGGTTTCTAACAATGATCAGGTTTTTTTTGTTTGTGCTTGTTTGTTTGTTTGTTTTTGAGAAGGAGTTTCCCTCTTGTTGCCCAGACTGGAGTGCAGTGGTGCAATCTCGGTTCACTACAACCTCCAACTCCCGAGTTTAAGTGATTCTCTTGCCTTAGCCTCTCAAGTAGCTGGGATTACAGGCTTATGCCACCATGACTGGCTAATTTTGTATTTTTAGAAGAGATGGGGTTTCACCTTGTTGGCCAGGCCAGTCTCAAACTCCTGACCTCAGGTGATCCACCTACCTCGGCCTCCCAAAGTTCTGGAATTACAGGCGTGAGCCACCACACCTGGCCTATGCCAGTTTTTTTTAACCACAGAAACCTGGTTAAATGCTCAACTGGTTTACAAATTAGACTGACATAACCAGAATGTTTACCAGAAGATGACAAACTTCTGAAAATATGCAACTGTCAGGCAGTCCTATCTCAACACACACACACACACACACACACACACACACTCTCTCTCTCTCTCACACATATGCAGAAAATCAGAAGGGCCCTAGCAACACATTTTATCAGCGTTAGGGTTTGAGAGTTTGTCTTTAAAAAAAAACACAATGGGTTAATTTTCATTACAGATTAAGGAAAGACTAAAGGAAGTTAAGGAAGAGATTTTCATCAAGAATTAAGAGTTAAATAAATGTATTCAGTTTAACTGTTTTTTCTAGTATATCATCACCAAATCCTAGAGCTTTTCATAACAGTTTCTTTCTAGTTCTGGTCTTAATTTTTCCCTTAAAAACTATCTGAAATAAATCCTCCTTCTGTGTCCAGAATAAGATCACCAATCCTGAGGAGAAGGCTCTGAAGAAGTGAAAGAACGAACAGGGAAATTGTAAACACAAATCTATTCTGTCAAACTCTAAGACTCTCTTAAGTAATACATGCTGAAAAACAGCCTGGAATCATTAAGTATCCAATATCCAATATCCAAGAAAGAGAGTTGGATTTGGGGCATTTTAAAAAGCCACATTTGGCCAGACCCGGTGGCTCACACCTGTAATCCCAACACTTTGGGAGGTCAAGATGGGTGGATCACTTGAGGTCAGGAGTTCGAGACCAGCCTGGCCAAATTGGTGAAACCCCATCTCTCCTAAAAATACAAAAATTAGCCAGTCATGGTGGCGGGCACCTGCAGTCCCACCTATTCGGGAGGCTGAGGCACGACAATCGTTTGAGCCCGGGAGGCGGAGGTTGCAATGACCTGAGTTCACACCACTGCACTCCAGCTTGGGTGACAGAGTAAGACTCCATCTCAAAAAAAAGAAAAAAGAAAAAAAAAGAAAAAGACGTGTTGAATCTGAGTTGAAAATTTCAGCAGATTTTTTTTTAAGACCAACAAAACATGCTTTGTCCAAACAAGCTACAGGTTCTCACTGCTTTGCATTCATAAATTCCCATGACTCTGCTTCTTAATAAAATAGTGTGGTCATGAGTTGTGCTGTTTTGCTGTAAGTGGCAAACAGCCCGGCAATCTTCTCCGTGATGCTTGTGCAACACAATGATGAAACTCAACTGAATAAAAATAAAAATAATAACCAGCCAACATTTCTTGAGTGTGTAAGTACCCAAAGCCGGTTTAAGACCTTTATGTGCATCACCTCATTTAGTCTACACAGCAACTCTATGAGGTGAGTGTGACTGTCCTTCTCACTTTACAGAGGGGGAAACCGAGGCACAGAGCAACGTAACAGTTTGCAAGTAGTGGTGCCAGGACTCGAAGGAGAGTAGAAGCAACGAGTTCAGGCCACTCTTTCCAGGGGGTTGTCAGTAGACACAGAAGGATCATGTAAGTAATAGCACTGTCGACTTTTGCTTAGTGCTCACCCAGCCTCACTCCAGCATGTGTGTTCCTTACCAGTACTCCCCACTGTCTTTCCAAATGCAACATCGGCAATGCAGTTCCTGCATGGGACTCAGCATCCAACAGCAGAACTGCAAAAGCATCCCACTGCAAAGATGCTTCAGGTAAGGGCTGATGGATTCATCACTTGAACTGCAGGATCTCCACCTCACATATGGGTCACAAGTGAAAGGCACTAGGACCCGCAGAGCCAAGACACAGTGGAAAGCACCGCCCACTAAAAGCAAGCAGTCAAAGGAATTCACATGCAACTTACAAGACAGAGACTGGAGGGCTGTGGACCAGATCCACGGCTTCTCCCCTCCCTTGCACATGGCCCGATGATATTTCTCAGTTCCCTGAACGTTAGCTTGGCTGGGTGATCGAGTTCCAGCCAGTGAAGTGTGAGTCAAAATGATGCGAGCCACTCTCAGGCCTAGTAGCTCTTTCAAAATCCCTCGTGAACAACCTTCCACGGACCTGCTCCTCTGGCTGGCAAACCCGGCAGAGCCACAAACGAAGGGGGCCTGGAACCCTGGACAAGTACTTGAAGAGCCACCCGTTGATATCTCACTACCTGCCCTGGATTCCATAAGTGATATATAAATGTCTATTCTGTATACAGTTGAAAATCTGGGCTTTATCTGTTAGAGCAGGTAGGTATTTATCTTAATACATTTCCCATCTGATCTAGCAACAGCCGCCTTTTAGGATTCTTCTGTTGTTGGAAAAATCTAGGACTCACACCAGAAAACATCTAAAAAGCCCAGGGATATAACCTGAGCCAGGCACGGAGAACATATTCTACATCTGACAGGTAAGCACAAGTCCACACACCAGAGCACACATGTCACACATAAACCAAAAGCATCCGAAGAGATCTTACCTGCCAACAGAGAGGACCGTGACCTCGCCTTGGCGCCGTGGTCTGCTCTCCCTGGACTTGTTGGTGGGCTTTATAAAGTGCCACCGCTTGTGCCTACACCGATGACACACGTCCCTCTCGACAACACCGCCCACCGTGTGCAGATGATGGCCACAGACGTGCTTTCCCGGGGTCCCCCCTGGTGACAAAGGCCCAGGACTCACGGGTGGGCTCCCTGGTGTGCTGGGGGTCACGGGGCTAAGGTGGGGAGGAAAATAAAAAGTGCAACTGGTTACTTAAAGGAAATACCAGTGAAGGCGATCTCTCTCCCTGTGATGACAGAAGCAGTTTAAGTTGAAAGAAAAAACAAAGCATCTTCCAATTGTACAAATGGACTTTGTGAACGGGCCTCAGACAGCAGGTACTCAGCTCTCATGACCGTGCGATGACAGCTTATCTTAAGCAATAATAATATGATTCATGGCCAGGCGTAACAGCTCATGCCTATAATCCCAGCATTCTGGGAGGCCAAGGTGGGAGGATTGCTTGAGGCCAGCCTGAGCAACATAGAGAGAGCCTGTCTCTGAAATAAAATAAAAAAATTAGCCAGGCATGATGACACATGCCTGTAGTCCCAGCTACTCGGGAGGCTGTGGCGGGAGGACCGCTTGAGCCCAGGAGCTCAAGGTTGCAGTAGCTATGATTGTACCCCTGAACTCCAGCCTCGATGACAGAGTGTGACCCTGTCTTTAGAAGAAAAAAAGAATGTGATTTATCAATTCTAGAATGGAATTTATTAGCTGGGAATAAACCACTGCTTCTAACAGTGATACACTGGCTTTAAAGTATTAGGTTTCTTTCTAAAACACTGATCTTTTTTCTCATGCAATTATCCTAATTTCTCACATACCAGAGTGTCTGTCCATCACTCTACGCAAAGAGATTCCCTAAGTATCTATGCCCTGGAAAAGGGAAGAACTCAATTCCATCAAATTATCAGATAACTTAGAGAAAAGATTTCATCAAATCTCCATTATATCAAAGAAGGAAAGCCTTTAGGCAAAGATATCAAAAGTGATGTCCAAAACAGATGTTGATGGTGTTGATAACAGTCATAATGTAATAGCTAACAGTATTCTAAGCATTTTGTATGTATATATTAATGGAATTAATCCTTATAAAATCTTATGATGTAAGTATTATTAATTTCTTCATTTTAACAATGAGGATATTGAGGCAGGGAGAAGTGAAGTAACTGGCCTCACACTTGCAACAGGATCACACTTGCAAATAAGTGCTGGATCTGAGATTCAAACCTAGAACGCTGAATTCCAGAAACCATGCAATTAATCACCTTGCTATATACACTATAGTGCTTCAGAAACAGCAGAGACCACTTTGATAATCTGGAATAAATTTGGCTAGACCATCTGAAATATAAAAAGCAGAAATATATAGGCCAGATACGAGCTGTTTTCAAAAGGCATGTGTGAAGGCTTTGGCCCGGCAGAAAAGGAGGAGTTCGAACCTAGCAGAGCTGAACTGAGCAGGAATCAGCCCTCCGGCACAGGTGGGAGGAGTGGGGATGGCATGACACCCACAGCCTGACACCTGGACCGTGGCAAGAGCCCCAGAGACGCACAGGAGGCTGTGACGGCAGAAACCAGGCTTTTCGTTGATGCAAACTGGCCACCTGCACACTTGAAAAAAAGAAGTAGAGCCTACAGTTGAGGAGACCGCCTCAAACATGACTAACAGACAAAAGTCTTCTGGTGCTCTTTAGGGATGCCTTCCTAATTGTTAAAATAAAAACACACAGCCGCACCTTCCTGGAGTAAAATAATGTCAACTTAGCACCACATATCAGAAAGCTGAATGCAACAGTTTAACAACATTCACTCAACAAGCATTTCTCAAGTACCAGCTGTGTACAAAACCCACTGATGGGCACTACAGGATGCCCAGAGATGATTGAGACAAAGACACCATGAGCTAAGATGGTCAGAACACCAATTGTCTGTGGCCAGGACTGGAATGTGGGAGCAATCAGAGCTCTTCTGTCTCTATGACTCTACGTCTCTCCTAAACTCAACTCCTTGCATTCTGAGTTACCTTTCCAAAACACACATCCAACGTAGCCAGTTTGACAAACACCTCTTAAATATCTAAGGTGTGCTGAGTGCACAACCCACATAGGAAGCGGAGAAAGATCCAACCCCTTTGCCATGTCACTTGGCCTGGCCACCCTGGACCGAACCCTTCATAGGCTGAGTCCCAGGCTATCATGATGTGGTGACTTTTCTTCTGGCCCTTCTTATTCCTACAGCCAACCCTGACTCTCCTCCTGCACACCTGGTTCAGATGGCACCTCTTCCATGAACCTTCCTGAACTTCCAATGGCCCCCAGGGTCCCCTAGAGCCTTCAATCTCCACCAGTCCTACAGCACTTGCAGGCTCTCCACCACGAGGCCTCACACACACGTCTCCACTCCCCACTGACTGTGTTCCTCCATGGCAAGGGTCTGTGGATGTCCAGCTCCAGAGCAGCACCCAGCACACAGCAGGCATCCAATAAATGCTCCTTGTTGAAGAAATAATACTTATATGGAAATACAGTTCTCTGTAATTAATTATGAAGGAATATGCTGCTCAACAACCATAACCTAAAACAGTAATACAAAAAACAGAACATAGCAGGTAGCTCCAAACCAGCTTGTTCATTTAATCATCATTGTTCACGGAGGTCTTTCAATGCTTAAGGTATGCTATATTCCTTATAACAACCCTATAAAGCTGGTACTGTGGTGGTCTCCATTTTATAGACGATGGAACTTAAACTCAGGGTGGTCAGTTAACTTCCTCAAGAATAGACAGTTAATATTGTGGTGCAGGCAGGACTCAATCACATCTCCCAATTCCAAGGCTATGTTTTTGCCCTTAACCTCTATGCCTTACTTCTTCCCATCACTATTCTCTAACACAACAGTTCTCAACCAGGAGTGATCATCTCCGCTACAGGAAATTGACAATATGTGGAGATATTATGGGTTGTCACACCTTGGGAGGGTGGGGGCAGGGGGTGCTCTGGCATCTTGTGAGTGGAGGCCAGGGATGCTGTCAAACATCCTACGATACACGGGACGGTTCTGCACAGCAAAGAACTAGCTGGCCCCAAATAACTATAGTGCCAAAGTTGGGAAACCTGCTCTAGCAGAAGAGCATTTCAGAAGGCGCCATATCTGAGCAAATAACTAAAAAGATGTTGCACTAAGGAGGAGGGGAGGAGCACTCACCTTTCAGGATCATACAGGCTGTTATCCGCTACCATCGCCTTTAAGACATCAGCATTCGCTAAGGAATAAAAATAAAATTAAAGAATTAAAATAGAACGAATAAGATGAGTAATCACATCAGAAAAGCTGTTGAAAACACATCTAATTCCATTCTTTCAATTCATAGATGAGGTCCTGAGGGCCTAGAGAAGGGAGGGTCTCCCCCAACATAACTGCATAACATGGCACCATCTGTCAATAACTTTCACCCAGCAGGAACTTAGTAAGAGTGACACAGAATCTACGGCAAGGAGAGCAGATCTACTATAAGGCATTGCTTCCTACACATCAATAGCAATATAAAGTAGACACTACCCCCCCACCCCACGCCAACTCCAACAAACTAAAGGACCATTTATATGCCGCTGCTCTATTGCAGTTAACTCATTTTGATAAATATGCTTTGAAAAATATTGATAGTGAAATGTATTTCATAAGTGACCTGTAGTCTAATAACTTGTATGTGCCAAAATAATTAGCTCTGAACTCTGCATCCTCCTGCAGCATCAATTCTATCCCACATCGAATCAGGGATGAGAGAAGGTTAATTTTCCAGATGAGCTCCAGGATCATATAAGCCCTTGACTGGCCAGATATCTTAAAATTTCAAGTATTGATCACAACATATAAGTTATGTAATATATGCTAACTTAAATTAGACTTCTAAAAAAATCCACATTTGTAGGTGGGAGGCTAGGCTGTCAACAAAAGAAAAAAAAAAAAAAAACCTAATCTAATCTAAGTTTCTTAGTTTCTTGAGTCCCCCAACCCACACCCACATCCACACGCCATGTGTTTTCTGCCTCCTGTAGAGTGGTCATGCTCTCCAGGATAAAAGACTGAAGTGAATGTTCAAGATTCCCTTGGCTATTTAATTGGCAAGGCCAAATGTTATTACTGGCTCATAACCTTTTCAATTGATTTCTGAAGCACTGTTCTCATGACTAACCACAAGTCTCTAAGAGAGGAAAGAACAAATAAAAATCACTATTCACCACATAAGCCAACACCAACCTTCAACATTTAACATTCAAATGCTTTTTCTAGAGGAGGAATATTAATTCTAGTTCCAACTGCTGCTGTAAGTGTTAACAGTTAAGGGCTTACAATGCGGGGTTTCTCAACCTGGCTTTTGTTATTGCCCCACCCAAGAGCTTTGTTCAACTATTTTTCCCTAATGACTCTCTCATTAAAGTACAGTATGGCAGATACATTTCATATTTGGTTATGTACTATACACATCTGTGCTTTACATATAAGAGAGTGAGGTATTTGTTTGTTTGTTTGGCCCTGATTCAATTTTTAACTTTTTAGGGGGCACATCGCCCCATTGCAACCCTTGAGAACACACGGGTTTTTGCTTTTTTCTTTTGAGAAGTATTAATATGACATTTAATCTTTTGCCAAAAGGAATTCTTTACCCTTCACAACTATCTGTGAGGATGTCCAAATGCATTTCCAAACACAAATTTTGATCTAAATAAGACCTCCTGTCATTACAAAAACATTATGAAAATGGATCCATAGTAATTTCTCCTGCACAATAAAGAAGACAGTTGCCTCTGTAAAACACATTTAAGTATAATCCAGTAATGTCAGTTAATATCCTGTTTGACTAATAAATGAGGATTCAAAAAAAACATTGTTTCAGATACTAGGTTTGGATATACAATCCCATATACAATTTTGTATTTTATTGTATACAAAATACAGTTGTCCTCAGTATCCATGCAGGAATGTTCCCCAGATCCGTGCAGATATCAAAATCCACAGATGCTCAGGTTCCTGATATAAAACATATCTACTCCACCCCCATACACTTTAAATCATCTTCAGGTTACTTACAGTACCTAATACAGTGGAAATCCTACGTAAATAGTTGTTATGCTGTTTTATTTGGGAAATAATGGCAAGAAACAAGTCTGCACATGTCCAGAAAGATGCAACCATCCATTTTTTTTTCCTATTTTTTTTTTAATCCTTGATTGGTTAAATCTATAGGTGCAGATCTCATGGATATGGAGGACTGATTATATAAAGTAATTTGCTGTCCATACTTACTCTGCCAATGTTTATCAAACTTCAAAACTACAAACATAAAAAAGAGGGAAAACACCACCAAAAGGTGTTAAAACAGGGACAGCACTAACAGCACATACAAAGAGTGAGCTTTTTAAAATCAAACGTTTAAATCACTGCCTGAGAAAATCAATCACCTGTAAAATGATGACTACCTAAAAAATGAAACATCAAATTACAAACTTATTCCAGGAAGATACGCTATATTAAAATCATTATTAAAGCTTGCTTCCTATAGACGTGTTTCTCAGTTATTCATGAATTCCTGTAACTCATCTTTCTCTCCCAGGAATAATTAGTAAACATTCCTTTGGTTTGTTAAGGGAGTCTCTAGGACTCACCCTGTGGCATGGGAGACACACACGCGCACACACGCACATGCATGCGTGTACAGGTACATACCCGCGTGTACACACACGCATCCCTGTCTCTGAGCTAACCTCCAGCGAGTCAGCTTCAGTAATCTGTCTCTTGGGAACATTTTTGGTTTCCAGTGACAGGAAGGCTTTCTAATATAACACCACCGTTAGGACTGAAACGCATGCCTTAATGTGGTTGTGAAGTTACCATAAAAGAGCAATGGTCTGAGTTCTGTTGAAGGTGTATCTCCTCCTTGCATATTACTCACAGCTCCACTAAGCCATAGGCGGCTTTCTCCACACTTGCCAGCATTTTATCAACTACGCTTCCCTGCATAGCCTTTCCCAAAATGGGAGGAGCTAGGCGCAGGGCAAGGAAACTCCCTCAAGAAAAGGGAAGGGCGGTGTTTTCCAGAAAAGACCTCTTTTTCTCCCCGAATCCCAGCTTGATAATATGCATGAAACAGCCAAAATCAGGCAAGAAAAATGTCTGGTTGTCTCTGCCATCACTATTCTCTTCAAAGTTTTCCTCACACCTAAGGCAAATTTCTCAAGCAAAAACTAACATTGCCATCACCAAAATGTAAGGGCCGGCACGTGCCAGTCGCTGCCTGAAAGCTTTACAGATCTTACATGTTGGACGCTTCTGACGCCCTTAACAGTAGGTAGAATTATCACCCCCATTTTACAAGTATACAGACTGAGACCTAAAGATCGTAACTGACTGGCCGGAGTCACACAGCTAGAGAGTGACAGCCTTGGACACAAACCCTGCTCTGACTGACTCCAGGGTGGGTGCGTTTAACCCTGACACCCTCCTTCCTACCCTTCAATGTCCAAGTCCCCACCCAAAGGGACACAGGTTGAATAATGGTTCACGGCATGTTTGCATAAACAGAGGAAGTTTCAGAACCCACTCCGTACTCACAGTCATTTATAAAGAAATCTTTTCTGCCAAAATATAAATGGAGCCTGAAGGCAAAAACTTCACAAAGGCATCTCTTGCCTAGGGATCAGAAGTACTAATCAGAAGCACTTGAGGAATATCTGTAGGACTCCCTGCAATTTTTACTAAGCAGCCAGTGTAAGGGCCTAGCAGAGAAACTCAGCTACAGACTCCCAGACACTTTCCAAACATCCATACAATGCAAGAAAACTCCAGCGACTACCCAGACATGATTCAGTTTGGCTCTATTTAGAAAGATGAATTAAAAGCTAGCATGGCGGTACATCCAACCTTTTGGATTAGGAAAACAGTCAGTGTGCAGGTGTGGCATAAAATGCAATAGATTTGGTCATTGTCCTGGGTTCCTGTCACAGAGTTCCTAAAGGCCTTGGAATTTCCTGAGAGGAGAGTCTTTTGTTATTCATAATGGGCATCTTTTGATCACACCTGAGTTTATACTAATGTGGTGACTCGGGGTGGGGCCCCTAGACAGTCTCAGGGTGGGGCCAGTCATCATTAAGACCAAGTGATTAGAGGGTTGGAACTTTCAGCCCTACCCAGGGACCTCAGGAAAGTCAGAGCAGGGGAGGACAGCGCAGGGTTCTGGGACTGGAAATTAAACTCGACAAAAAAACTTTTTTTTTGGTTTGTTTTTTGTTTTTGAGATGGAGTCTCCCTCTGTCGCCCAGGCTGGAGTACAGTGGCACATCTCAGCTCACTGCAACCTCCGTCTCCCAGGTTCACAACTTTCTCCTGCCTCAGCCTCCCAAGCAGCTGGGACTACAGGTGCCCGCCACCACGCCCGGCTAATATTTTTGTATTTTTAATAGAGACGAGGTGTCACCGTGTTAGCCAGGATGGTCTCGATTTCCTGACCTCTTGATCCACCCGCCTTGGCCTTCCAAAGTGCTGGGATTACAGGCGTGAGCCACCGCGCCCGGCCAACAAAAAACCTCTTGACCGACAAGATTTGATAGCTTCCAGGTGGCTGAACAGGTGCAGGTGCCGGGAGGGTGGCGCACCCAGAGAGAGCAGGGAAGCTTTGTATCCCACCCCCAATACTACGCATCTCTTCTATTTTGTTGTTCATGAGTTGCATCCTCTGTAACAAGCCAGTACATGTAATAAAGTGTTTTCCTGAGTTCTGTAACCCATTCTAGGAAAATATCGAACCGGAGGAGGGGACTGTGGATCTCTCATCCCAGCCATTTACAGACTATAGGTCAGAAGCACTTGTTCATGAGTTGCATCCTCTGTAACAAGTCAGTACATGTAATAAAGTGTTTCCCTGAGTTCTGTAACCCATTCTAGGAAAATATCGAACCGGAGGAGGGGACTGTGGATCTCTCATCCCAGCCATTTACAGACTATAGGTCAGAAGTACCAGAGCCCGGCTTCCAACCGGCATCCCAAGTAGGGGAAGTCTTTTGGGATCTAATGCTAACTCCAGGTAGACAGAGTCAGAACTGTATTAAATTGCAGGCTTCCGAGATTTGGAGAACTGCAAAGTATGGAAAAAACCCGCACATCTGTGTCAGAAATGTTGTGTGAGGATGGAGACAAACAAATAAAGTGTGTTTGCCCAGCAGGTCAGCTGATAATCCATCCTTCAAGAGATATTTATCTAAACTAAAATTGATTTCCATCATTAAAGACATAATGTGTTTAAACCATAAACAAGAATGTTACCATGAGTACAGGTCAAGTATCACCCCATTTGCCAAACTTAAAATGCGAAGCAGAAACCATTCATATATCACGATTGCAAATGTTTACAGATGCATGACATCTAGGAAAAGAAAACCTAAACACATGTGGGAAAAGGGTAACAGACAGATTGTGCTTAATTTTATTCCTTTCTTAATGTAAAGGAAAAGTTATGGTATGCTTATCACTTTTAAAACTAGAAAGTGAAATTAATATTAATTCCAATTTATCAAAGACGGAAAACGTCAACAGGGAAGTCCAAACTGGTGCTAAGTTCAAAGTTATGTTAATCATTGAGAAAAAAATACTTTAAAAATGCATTTGGTCCACAAAATAGAGGATTTCAGTCTCAAAGCCAAACTCAAACATGCTAGGTTATAAACTGGTAAGAGATCAAGGCTGCATCTTATCATGAGGCTGTGGTTTCGGTGCAGGCTGGAAGCTGAAGAGGCCACAGCTGGAGAGGGGCATGCAGCAACATTAGCTATTACTTGGGAGTCCAGGAAGGGAACCAAGGGCTGCACAAAGGATTGGAGTCACCAGCTGTCCTCACAAGCCCCTGGAGAAACCGCAGGTACACAGATGAAGGCGTGGACAGGAGAAGAGGGGACCTGGGGTTGAGAATAAGATAGAAAGCAAAGAGAACTGGGGAGCAGAGGAGAGAGGAGAAGAATGGCACCTCAGGTATTGACTGCTGAGTGGTACCTACTGGTACGAAGCACAGTAAAAACACAAAGGCTACTTTCCAAAAGGCAAACAACATCATTTAAAAAGAAAGACAAAACAGTCCTATTTGCACATTAGTGTGGGAAGTGAGGACATTATATAATATGCCTCCTCCAAGGACCCCAAACACGTTCTCTGCTGTAATTAAGAGAAGTGCCTACTGCCGGCACCATCCTGCCATACCTGCTTATGTGACTTTGAACAAGTGTCTTATCCTCTGGGTCTCTGTTTCCTAATCTACAAAATAGGGTGATAAAAGGGCCTATGTCATCTGGCACTTTTATTTTTATTTATCTATTTATTTATTTATTTATTTATTTTTGGAGACAGAGTCTCACTCTGTCGCCCAGGCTGGAGTGTGGTGACTGTGCCATCTTGGCTCACTGCAGCCTCTGCCTCCTGGGTTCAAGTGATTCTCCTGCCTCAGTCTCCCAAGTAACTGGGATTACAGATATGCACCACCATGCCCAGCTAATTTTTACACTTTTAGTAGAGATGGGGTTTCACCATGTTGGCAGGCTGGTCTCGAACTCCTGACCTCAAGCGATCCTCCCACCTCAGCCTCCCAAAGTGCTGGGATTACAGGCATGAGCCACTATGCCCAGCCGGTACTTTTAAGAATTTATTGAGTTAATGCTTAAGATTTCTACAAACTAACCCAGCTATATACTGTCTCTCTTTGAAAGGAGTTAAGTTTTCCATCCCTCTTTCATGCCACCTGGACAGAGGTACTACAGTAACTGGTTAAAATAACAGACTATGGAATCAGAACACCTCAGTTCCAATCCCAGCTCCGCCACTTTCCAGTGGTGCAACATTGGCAACTTAGTTAAGTACGGTGGGCTTCAGTCTGTAACATGGGAAGAAAATGTAGAGATCCTAGAGTCCCTGGAAAGCCCACAGAACAGGCCCAGCATACAGCAAACCCTCAGGAGTACTATGACGTCGATACATGAGAACTTCAGCCCTTGGCAAGGTTCTCACAGTTTACTTATTTCGACTGATTCAACTGTCGGTAACCCATTTCATGCATCATCACAAATTTGGCAACTGCTCCAGCTTTCAGAAGCCCAGGTCCCAAAGGCCTGCAAGCTCTCCACAGCCAAGAAAGGCAGTTTGGAATGTGAAAGGCACAGGGGCAGTGAGGGGGTCATCCACGCCTTACGCTGCACACTGCCAGAATGGGTACATTTTCCTATGCCAAGGACATATTCATGCATTGCTTGGGCAAATTAAAAAGCACTTTTTTTCATGTAAAAGAAACATCCATGATTGAGTACTCAACAACAGTATCACCAACTATTATGCCCTGAAGGAAGGTCTCTGGAAGACAGAGAACAAAATCCAAGTATTCTGGTCTGTTTTGTTATTTTAAACATCATCTGAATAAGTCTGGTTGTCTGATTTTATAGACTGTAGAAATTGACAACTGCACGTTAGAAGACAGGAGGGACAATACTGTGTGGTTGAAAAGAATGCTGAATTTGAAACCAGACAGACAGAGCTGGGCTGCTCACTAACCATGTAAGTTTAACTACTTGGAACCTTCTTTCTTCATCTGTAAAATGGGTGTAATTGAACCAACTTTATAAGCATGTTTTGAGGATTAAATGAGATTACGTATATAAAGCACTCAGATCTATGCCAAAAGCATAAAGCACATTCTGAAAACAGCAATGAAAATTATGCTCAACCATACGAAACTGCTGTTTCTCTAAGTCAAAAACAGTTGAAGAGAGTCAAACTGACAGACAGGCTGGGCAGGCAGATGCTCTTGTGGAGTAGTGAGGATCTGGGAGTGTGGGGTGCCCGGGGCAGGGCCTGAGGGCAGGGGAGCAGGTATTTACTGATGAGTGTGGTGTTATTTCAACGTTCAGAAAAATGGCTCAGCTCTATCATCAGTGCACAGTCCATGAGTCCATGCTGACTAAAGCAAAGACAAAGCCCAGGGGAAACGTTTGCTTTTCAATTGTCATGAGAATTCAAAGTGTAAGAATCCACAGCTATGGAGCAAGTGGGCAAGGAATCCCACACACCTTAAACATCACTGAGGGCATGGTGTGCTATGGAGGGAATAACCAGTGCTCAGAACAATGACCCCAGAGTTTCTTCACTCAAGATTAAATTAATCTTCCATTTAAGATGACAATGTAGAATACATTTCAGGGTGAAAAAATACTCAATTTCATAAAAGTTCAACTTTGTAACAAAGTGTTAAGGCGGGAGAAAGGATGACATAGAACAGACAAGCAGAAGCACAGCAGCAGCTGCCAGTGGCCGGGGGAGGAGGGAGTGGCTACCTAACGGGTCCAGAGCTTCCGTTTGGGATGATATAAAGTTGTGGAACTAGACAGTGGAGATGCATGTTCAACACTGTGAATGTACTTAATCCCACTGAAGTGTGTACTTTAAAATGGTAACAGAACAAAATTTTATGTTATGTGTGTTTTACCACAATTTTTTAAAGCACACACCAGAAAAACAGACAATATTTGAGTGCTTTCTATACTAAGCCCTCTATGTATACTATGTACCAAAAATGCTGTGAAGTAAATATTATTATTATTGTTTCTTTTTTTAGAGTCTCATTCTGTTACTCAGGCTGGAGTGCAGTGGTGTGATCACAGCTCACTGCAGCTTTGAAATCCTGAGCTCAAGTGATCCTCCCATCTCAGCCTCCCAAGTAGCTGGGAACACAGGCATGTGCCACCATGCCTCACTAATTTTGTTTTACCTTTTTTTTTTTTTGAGATGGAGTTTTGCTCTGTCACCCAGGCTGGAGTGCAATGGCATGATCTCGACTCACTGCAACCTTTGCCTCCCAGGTTCAAGTGATTCTCCTGCCTCAGCCTCCAAGTAGCTGGGATTACAGGCACCCGCCACCAAGCCTGGCTAGTTTTTTGTATTTTTAGTAGAGACGGGGTTTCACCACGTTGCCCAGGCTGGTCTCGAACTCCTGACCTCAAATGAGCCACCCACCTCGGCCTCCCAAAGTGCTGGGATTACAAGGTATGAGCTACCACACCTGGTCTTTTTAACTTTTTTTGAAGACATGGGGTCTCCTATGTTGCCCAGGCTGGTCTTGAACTCCTGGCCTCAAGTAATCCTCCCACCTCAGCCTTCCAAAGTGCTGGGATTACAGATGTGAGCTACCGTGCCAGGCTGAGGTAAATATTATTATCCTCATTTTACAGGAAGAAACTGTACCTCATGAAACAAAGCAATGCAGTTTCCCCAAATTGCACACAACCAGTAAGCAGCAAGGCCAGGATTTCAACACCAGCTGACAGAGCTCCAGGGCTGGGTCTCTGCAACGCTTAGACCAACTCATGCTTAGAAAACTCACTCATGTGAAACTTGCGTAGCTCAATAATGCTGGCAGCTGAGGTGTTAGAAAGCTTAGGTGAAGTCAATAAGAGAGTCTACGTAAATCTTGACTCTTGGAAGCAGGTTTTTAATAAAGGATAGGAATACTGAATTGTTTTGGAACACTAAAAGGTCCACACCTTCATTTTTCATGATGTAGTGGACGATTTGCCCAACAGTGTCACTGTTTTCATTCATACTGTCGTTCAATTCTGAAAGAGAAAAGAGGAGGGGAGAACAGGTTACAACTGCTCACCAGCATAAAGTCAATCAGTCTTAGAACCCAAGACCTCACTGAACAGTTTCCAGGAGCCTCAAGAGGTCACTCAAGGTGCTACGATTCTAGCCTTTCTCCCTCCAGCCCCAAACTTCCTCATGCATAACAAGCATAAAGAGAAAGTACCAGAGCTGTCCGTCTATCTCTTCTGAAGTTCAAATGCTCACTCACTTTCCAGACAATAATTTGAAAATGCATTTGTACCAGTCCTCATTATTATTTCTCTCTCATCATTTCCTTAAAGCCTTAGGAGAAATGGGAAGAAGAAAGCTCATTTAAAAAGAAAAAATTCTCCTTGGATTTTATTTTAATTGTAGACTTACTATATCAATTTACAATATTAATTTCCTTTTTAAATTGGATCATAATTCATCCATGTTCATCAGACTGCCCTATCCTCTGAAATACACTTTCAAATTACCTACATTCAGGGCTTGGTTATTTGTCCACAAACTCAGTTTACTTTGGGGACTCTGTACCAGGAGTGTACATGATGGTCTTTGGGAAAAAAAGCAAACCACTCTGGAACCAATCTGCAAAATCTGTTTCAATAAGACAAGGAGAACAAGGGAAGGTTGAAGTACTCCATCCTAGTTCACAGAGAATACATCAAGGTGTGCAATGTCCTACTCATTTACAAGGAAAATGTCTTCTCCATCCAAAGGTCAGCTTTCCCCCACGTGAACATGCATGTTTGGTTAGACAGCTCAGAAGCTGGCTGCTAAGCCAACCTACAGAGCATCTGGGAAGGAGGAGAGGGGGAGGCTCCACTTGCTGTTGACAAACACTTGGCTTCGGTTTGCTCACAGGCTCATACATGACTCATCATGCAATCCTATTCCTTCTCAGCCTCAAAGGTCAGTGGGGGTGGGAAAAACCAACAGTCCAGCAAGCTGGCAAGGAACGAGGAACCTCCCCCCAGCCAGCCCTGCTTTGCCCGAAGGGAGACCTACTCCATTGTCACCTTTCTCCATAAACTGCCCTTAGTGGGGCCGAAAGGAATAGGGGGAGTCACCTACTACCTCTCAAGGCCCAAGTCAGGAAACATCCCTAAAGATGATGGGAAAGAAACATCAGCGGAGAAAACAGGATTTCGTCTCCCAGGTTTTTCTAAACACTACCTTATGGCTCCACGTTAGGAGCAAAAGATGAGACAGCCTGAAGTTAGTACTAAGGCACCAGTTCTTGCCATACCTTTTTCTGCACTGTACACATGATCGTTTACTTAATGAACACGAATTCCAATCACAAATATTTAAGACAGAACTCCCCCAGCAAAAGCAACATCACAAACATGGTGAGACCTATTTTAATTTTTCCTTCACTCTTATTCAAATCTGATTCCATAATAATAGTAAGGATTAATATTTACTGAGTGGTCATATATTCCAAACACCAAATGCATCTTTCCTCTAAATTTCACAGAAACCCCAAAAGGTGAGGACTGTTTTCCTCATTGAAATTAAATTAAAATGTCAAATGAATAAGATTAAATTAATTAAAAATACATTTAAGTAAAATTATACAGAGCAGACTCAGAGTACACAATAACTTGTCTAAGGCCACTGGGCAAGAATGGGTGCCCTGTCTGGCAGGTCAGATATTCAGTAAAGAAAGCAAGTTTTCAAACTAGGTATAATTACTGCGCATCTGCACTTACGCTACACTGCACCACCTGCCACTAAAATGGATCATTCTGCCTCAGAGAGACGGAAAGCATATATCACTGATTTCATATTTTAAAACTGTCTCCTCACCCCCAATAAAAAGAACCCTGGTTATTTACCTATCTTTTCAACCTTTTCTTCTTCGATATCTTGCTCTGCTTCTGTTGTACAACGATAGCCTTTCTTCTTAAGCAGGTGGCAAATGAGGACGCCGAAGAGACCCATGATAAAGAACACAGGGACAAGCGCATATGCAATATATTCTGGGTGTCCATTCCCAGTATCGTTGCTGGGCGACGGGGTCGTCTCTGTTCTGGAGTGCAATGTGCGGCTGCTCCCATTGTCTACAGAAAGAAACATGCATGCTGCATTAGGTATCTGTCCAGGGCAAGAAAAACCTAATGACTATCAGGTAAAGTTCAGAGTAAATCAGGGTCTGCTCCCAAAACCACAGGCCATGGAGACTGGTGGGTCTGGCTGCGGAGGCACAAGATAGCCCAGGTCTGGGCTCAAACAGTCTGAGTTTAACTCTGTTACTCATGAACCGGGTCCCACGCTGGGTCATTTTTTAAAAAACCCTTTGAAGACAGCTGCTTCTTCATTGTGGAATGAGTATACAGGATTGTAGTGAAGGGTCCAGCACAGAACAAACACAAAAACATTACATGTAACATTACAAACATTACATAAACATTACACTACATTATAGCACGGTTCTTAGTGATTAAGAGAACGGCCTCAGGACACTCAAGTTAATGCCTAGCTCCACCATTTAGCAGCTCTGTGACAATGGACAAGAACTTAATTAACCTCTTGATGCTTTGGTTTCTTATGAAATGGGCATACTAATACTACTTACCCACCCTTCTAGGATTGTTATGAAGATGAAATAAATTATTACATGTAAACTAGCAATCAACATAGCAAATAGTCACCCACATGCCAGGCACCGTTCTAGGCACTTGTGATGCAAGCACATCACACTGAGCAAAACAGGCAGAGATCGTTGTCCTCATGCAGCTTACATTCTAGGAGGACTGAGTAAACTAGCAGATCTAGAGTATGAAGAGAGGGAAAAGTCAGGGATAGCATCAAGATCTTGGCCCGGGGCGCAAACATAAAAATGGAAGTGAGTGCACTTGTTTATCTGTTCACTAATCCCCATAAACATTGAACGCATGCCAGTTATGTGACAAGCACCACACTAGGTGGGAACTGGACAGAGTGATGAACAACGTAACGCAGCCCCTGCCATCTTGAGGTTTGTAGGATGGCATCAGAAATAGCCATTAAACAAGTATGCATGGGCCGATCATGACAGATTGTGAGAAATGCTGTGGAAGGAACACACAGGGTACTAGAAGAGAAAAGAACAGTGAGGATCTACTTTATGACTTCAAGAATAGGGAAGCTGTGAAGTGGGTATCTTTTGCAGAAAAGGGGAAGTTGTTGCCTTTAGACATGTCAAAGTATCATATGAATATATATATGAGAGGCAGTTTGATATCTTAGCCTGCAGGGGTGCCACATGGACTCCAGAAAGCAGTGAGCCTGGAGCACACAATTATACCATGTGGCCAACTGAGACAGCAGGAAGAACACACTGGGCTGGGCACGGTGGCTCACACCTGTAATCACAGCACCTTGGGAGGCTGAGAGGGGGACCAATCACTTGAGATCAGGAGTTCGAGACCAGCCTGGGCAACATGGTGAAACCCCATCTCCACTAAAAATGCAAAAATTAGCTGGGCATTGTGGTACACAACTGTAGTTCCAGCTACTTGGAAGGCTGAGGTGAGAGGATCGCTTGAGCCTGGGAGGCAGAGGTTGCAGTGCGCCGAGATTGCACCACTGCACTTCAGCCTGGGTGACAGAGCAAGGCGTCTCAAAAAAAATTAATTAATTAATTAATTTAATTAAAAATTATTAAAAAGTTAGCCTTATATATGTTCCCGTCACACAGTAAGCACTATAAATGTGTTAGCTACCACTATTAGTATTTAGGCTGGGCACAGTGGCTCATGCCTGTAATCCCAACACTTTGGGAGGCCAAGGCAGGCAGATCACCTGACGCCAGAGTTCAGGAAGAATACACTGTGTAGCAAAAGAATCAGCAGAGCGCCATGCCATGGAAAAATGAGGAAAGAAGTACAAAATGAAGGTGGGGGAGTCAGGTAGATGAGAACCAAAGAAAACTGCCGGGTTTGACTGGAACGAAGCTTCAGTATTTAGAATATCCTGACTGTGAAGGGATAAAATGAGCTTTTCTTCATCAAGGGAGGTTCACACACATTGCTCAAGAAACCCAGAAATTGGAAAGCTAGAGACATTTAAACATAAGCTTTCTCAAGAGAAGTTTGGTGAGAAAAGAATCCGTATTGTAAGTGAGAGCGGCAGGAGGCAGCCAAATGCCCAGGCAGAGAGGGGCGGGTCCCTGGTGAAACCCCACCTCCATGCTGAAGACAGTTTAAAGCCTGAAAGCCAAGTTACAAGTTAAATCCTCCGACCAGATGGAGGACTTGTCTTCCCGTTTGGTGCACTTTCCTCACAAACCAATCAGCACGCACCCCCCGTTCTGAGTCCATAAAAGGCCCCAGACCCAGCCACACGGGAGGAACTTCAAGTAGGGGAACCATTCCCCAGAACCCCACATTGCCTCTCTGCTGAAAGCCGTTTTCATTCCTCAACAAAATTCTTCTCTGCCCTCCTCACCCTTCAATGTGTCGTGTATCCTCATTCTTCTTGGGTGCACTACAAGAGCTTGGGAACTGCTGAGAGCGGGTACAAGCTATACCACAGGCGAGAGCTGAAGCACTCCAGCGTAGCCAAGCGAGGCCTGGGCAGGGCTTCGCCAGCCGGGACGTCCCCAGTTTACAAAGCGACCCCAGTTACAAACTCCTGCATCATAATGGGAACAAATACCTGGTATGAAATGAGCACAGTTCATCACAGCAGCAAACAATATCAAACAGAAGTTGATTTGCAAACCAGAGGCCACAGAACAAAGGCTACCTCTCTTTCACATGGAAATATCCATTATCTTTGAACATGAAAGGAAATAATTGGTTTCTCAGGTTTGTAAGAGGTTGCATTCATTACTGTATCAGACAACCTCCAGAATTTGAAATAGCCTGTGTTTTCTGATTTCTCCCTGAAGAATCAATATAATAAATAAATCCCTAAATATATGCAATATACCATCTAAGTTAGAGTTTAACCTCATGGCTTATTTTCAATAAAAACCAGAAACATTTATTTAACTCCTTTTATGGTCCTAAAACAATAAGTTTTCTTTATTAATTCCTTTATATAACACATATTCCATGCAACAAGAATAGGTGAAGTAAGCAGCACGCTGAGATCAAGGAGCGTTCCTCAGAATCACCGTCTGTTTCAATATGGGGGTGATAATAAATGCTTTTAGGGGAGACAATGGGAAACCGATGAAAGCAGAGGGGCTCAGAATTGGCGTCAAACACCTCCCTCTGACTCAGGTGATTGAGAAGGTGTCTTTAAGGGAGGAGACCACCCCTCATATTGTCTTATGCCCAGTTTCTGCCTCCAAAGAAAGAAGTAAAAACTAAAAGGCAGAAATGAAATCCACAGGCAGACAGCCGGGCACTGCACCCTGGGCCTGGTAGTTAAAGATCGACTCCTGACCTAATCGGTTCTGTTATCTATAGATTACAGACATTGTATAGAAATGCACTGTGAAAATCCCTATCTTGTTTTGTTCTGATCTAATTACCGGTGCATGCAGCCCCCCGTCACGTACCCCCTGCTTGCTCAATCAGTCACGACCCTCTCACACGCACCCCCTCAGAGTTGTGAGCCCTTAAAAGGGACAGGAGTTGAAAAGGGGCAGGAATTGCTCACTCGGGGAGCTCGGCTCTTGAGACAGAAGTCCTGCCGAGGCCCCTGGCCGAATAAACCCCTTCCTTCTTTATTTCGGTGTCTGAGGAGTTTTGTCTGCGACTCGTCCTGTTACATCTTCATGGTGAATTTGACATGCGGCAAACCCTTACAAACACTACGTATCTACAGAGCTCTGTGACTTACAAACGTGTCATTCACTTAATTTCATAATTATCGTGCCATGAAAAAACTGAAGATATGAATCTAAATTAGCGAAGCATACAAATTATAGGGAGATGCAATATAGCACTTGTTCGGCCTCTGAGCCAAAGCTAAGCCATCATATCCCCTGCAACCTGCACATACATGGCCGGTTCCTGCCTTAACTAATGACATTCCACCACAAAAGAAGTGAAAATGGCCTGTTCCTGCCTTAACTGATGATATTACCTTGTGAAATTCCTTTTCCTGGCTCATCCTGGCTCAAAAGCTCCCCCACTGAGCACCTTGCGACCCCTACCCCTGCCTGCCAGAGAACAACCCCCTTTGACTAATTTTCCTTTACCTACCCAATCCTACAAAACAGCCCCACCTCTATCTCCCTTCGCGGACTCTCTTTTCAGACTCAGCCCACCTGCACCCAGGTGATTAAAAAGCTTTACTGCTCACACAAAGCCTGTTTGGTGGTCTCTTCATACGGAGCGCATGAGAGTACTCAGATTAAAAGCTCAGACCTGGCAGAAATAACAGACAAGTTATCTGGCCACATACTAGACATGTCATCTTAGGCGAGAAATTTTAACTGTTCTGTACTCTGTTTCCTCTCATAAAAAGGATCAAAATCAATGTGACTAATCTGTGATAATTTTAAAGGATGGCCCTGTGAAATAAAAATCTAATCTTGGACCCCAATTTAATATGCCAAAAGGAAAAAATTAAGCTGAAAGTTGAGTCATTCAAGAAACTGCCTTTCCTTTTGTTCTTAGGCAGATAGCTACCGATAAAAGGTTAAGCATCTGCACAGGTAGCTAGCTACTCCATGCTCACCTTATCTTAGGTAAAGTGTTGACTGACTGACATAATTGACTATCACCCTGCTCGCTCCTTTTCCCTTGCAACAGGTAGATTCAGTAATGTGGCCATCTGCTCCCTCTTTCCTCTTTAAGTATTGAAACCCTCAAAATCTTCTTTGGAAAATGCCATGAACCACAGCTTGTTCCTGTGGATTTGAGATCCTTTTCTCTGGGCATGTCCTTAACCTTTGCAAAATAAACTTCTAAACTGATTGAGACCTGTCTCAGATACTTTTTGGTTTCCAGCTTCAAAATTATTTGATACTGCTTCTCCTGAGAGGTGAGGTCTGTATCTCCTTCCCTTACATTTATACTCTTCTCTCCCTGACCCACAGAATGTGGTGGGAGTGATGCATTATCACTTTGCAGCCTCAGGCAACAAGAAACTGACAACTTCCACTTTCTGTTTCTTGGGG